GAGGTAGTTTGGTAGTTTAGACAGTGGTTGAGAACAGCTGATTTAGAAAAAGCTAAAAAAAAAAAAAAAAAAAAAAAAAAGGAAGCACTTTCGACTCTTATTATTTTCCAGAACATGAAGGTGACAATAAGCTCAGTAAGAACTAAAAACTGAATTATTCTCACCTTTACTTTTCTTTTTATAAAACAGATTTCTGCACACCCCAGGAGAAACTTTTAATTCAACCAAAGACATTATCAAACTCCTTTTCACAGTTAATTCCCTCCCATACCAACGAGGTCTACCAAGCTGCTGCTGTCTCCATTCAAAAGCCGACTTACAACCCCACATATGTACTTTCAGGAAGGCCACACCGCAAGCTCGGCACAGCAGATATGAAACCAGTACTCCAATGTGACAATACTGGTCTCCCTCAAATAGAGCAACGGCTATTTTGTTTTGTTTTAGTCTTTTGTACGTAAGTATTTTATCTTTTTGATAAAATGTTTGGTAAAATTACTAAACCTGAATCAAGCCTGTTTTACCTTTATATATATACAGCATCCCCAAATATTCATCACAGGAAGAAATACAACCAGAAATGAAAAGCCCTAATGAAGGTTTCAGTCGCGGTGTGTTAAAAAGAGAAACGAATCTGAGAAAGCCAGACTAGAAACCACACAGCAACACAGACAGCCACATATTCCAAGCAAGGCTAAAGTTAGTACAGGAAAATATAGCAACCCAAAGCCGGTAACACCATCACCCTTAACAGCCTACAGAACTAGACACTCCATCCACATAAACAGATCACCCCACATGCTGAGTGACAGGAAAGATTTTGTTTTATAAATTTTTTTTTTAAAGTTCAAAGGCCTTTTAGTCTACAAAAGATACCAGTGTCTGATGTCTTTGGGCCCAAATTAGAGTGGAGGATGAGAAAAGGAAAAGCGTTAGGGTGTATTTGAAGGTTTCTTACGGCCACCAAAGGGTGGAGTAGTCAAGGCAAAGTGCCAAGGTTACAGCAACAACAAAAAGCATATAGAAATTGGGATCTGCCAAAGAAAAAAAAAACAAAACCATCAACTCTACAAGCTACTACAGTCCCCTTTGTCTTACCTAACAGGACGCTGCATCATCCAAAGGAAACGAGGCAGGGACCTACCTACTTCCTCCTGCAGAGCCTCATCAATTTCTACTAAGATACTTCATTTTTCAGTCATATTTATAAATTTTCATTTGTAGAGGTTCTTACTCTCTTTTTGTGCCAAGAATCCCTTTAGCAGTCTGAGGAAGCCTACTGAGCCCTTCTTGGACCAATGTTTTTAAACATATAAAACACAAAGGATTACAACTGGAATCAGTTATACTTAATTATCAAAATAGTCTTAAATTGCAATACATACATGCACTTCTGTTTGAATGCATTAAATAACAAAATCTAGAAGCAAGTCTTTCTGTTGCCTACACTGATAATTGAGTGAAAATGTTAAATTGCAGTTTGAATATCATGAAAATAAAGACATATTTTTCCCCCATCCAAGTTCAAGAACTTTCCAAATTCCATCTGTAGACCCCAGGTTAAGAACCCTTGGTTGAGAGAACCAATAAAAATACATCTCGTGAAGCATTCAAAGAAAAAAAAAAGTCTTGCAAAATGCATTATCCATTCAACTGTGAAGTGAGAGGAACTAAGAGAGTAAGCAATATTTTTCCAAAAACCACGATGGGCCATTAGTCAACAAGAGAGCCACATGTTTCAAATTGAATCCAAAAAGGATGCTTTGAGGAACTGACAGCACTGCTGGAATCTGTCTCAAGGTGGAGAAAGGATGAAGTGGGAGTACAGCCACCCAGCTCAGCCCAGATCAACTATGAACCTGAACAAGCCTCTTTCCTTCCGGGAGCCTCAGTTTCTTCATGAACAAAATACAAGTGCTAAACGTGTACCAGGACTCTAGGCCTCCTTCTAGTCCTAAATTTCTTTTTTATTTTTTAATTATACTTTTAAGTTCTGAGGTACACGTGCAGAACGTGCAGGTTTGATACATACGTATACAAGTGCCACAGTGGTTTGCTGCACCCATCAACCCGTCATCTACATTAGGTATTTCTCCTAATGCTATCCAGTCCTAAATTGTTGTCATGAGGTCATCCCCTCTTTACGCTAGTTATTTCAGTCTATTTAGCTAAATTTCAAAACATCATTGTCTTTCTTAAACTTGGAACATAAAGTTTTACCCAATTTAAATGCTCTCATGGGTAACCTAACACCAGTGAGTCTAATAGATGTATATCATTACAACTTTTTTAAACATTCTGTTTTTACAAACATCTCCATAAAAAAACCACCACAGCATTGGTCTTTGCTGCTATTAAAATAACTGTCAGGGAACTTAGATTATGTAACTACTTATCTTCCACATCTGAGCCACTGAACAGAATAACTGAGCACAGACCAGGAAGGGTCCCTGAAGGCTACCTAATCCAAACACAGTTTGCAATTGATAAAGAAACAGAGAGGAGGGGGAACTAAGACAAAGTCACAGAGCCAGTCAGCAAGATAGCAGGACTTATGCAGGTCGCCCACCTGTGAATGCATATTCTTCCCACTATACCAAACTGCCCCTCAAATCCTGAGCCACTTCCCTAACCTTAAAACATCTGCAAGTTTAAAAATAGTAAAAAGACCTGCTGGGTAGACCAGTCATTTTTTTGTACCTTTGGTTAAGTAATGGGCACAACAAAGAATTGTGGCTATGATTTATCAACTGGCTGGAATCACAAAGTTAGGAAATTCCACTAACCTGCCCAGAAAGTGATGAGCTCACTAAAATCCTAGCTATGTGGAAATCTCTTAATAATACCGCATAACACACGAAAAGATACAGAAGTATTTATATAAGGATATAGACATCTATCAGCTCTTCATTCTGCTCTCCGGGATTTCCTAGTAATATTTTACTATGACATTCAAGAGAGAGCAAAAAGGTCACACAACCATTAAAAAGAAAAAAACCTGTATTTGACAAGCAAAAGCTTATATCAATACCAAATATTAGGCATTTTTAGATCTCAGGAATCATCTCACTATTCAGAAAATCTACTTGAAATTTTCTGTTTTCCAATATTAATGTCCCAGAGAACATAAAGATAACATCATAAAGGTGGTATTAATTCTCTGTGAATGTTATTGTTGTTGTTTTTTTTTTTTTTTTTTTTTTTTTTTT